ATCTCAGTGAAGCGAGTATGTTAGTCTTTTATCATCATTACTTTTGCCATCTGGCTTTTTCTTTAGGAGCCTCAGTAGTAGTCTACGGGCCTGATGGAACTACCTGGGATCACCTGCCTGTGTTAGGAGGAGGTCAGAGACTTCTGATGCCGAGAGCTGCCTTGATGTTGAAAAAAGTTACTTTCTGAGGCTGTATGTGTTAGAGCAAAAGCATCAGTCTCTGTATGTCTTTTTTTCCCCCATATTGATCAAAAAGTTCATTTTAATGGCATTAGTTCTGTTGATTTCAACAGACAGTCTCATGACTTGAAATGTTTAGGGTTTGTTTTTTTTTTTAATTATGCTTTTCCTTTAAATACTTCTCATATATTTTTTAGCTGTATGTGTTCATACAAGGTATTTGAAAAGATGTTGCTGAACACCTTTTTGTCAGTGTGGTTGGAGACTGAGCAATATGTAGATTTTTTAATTGGCTCTCAACAAGAACTGGTGTGATGAAGGATTAAGAAGGAAGAGGAAATATTGAGAAACACTTTGTATAGGTGTGATACCGATGATATAGCTGAGGCTGTAGATTTGGATCAACAACATATGCTTGATTTGGGGAGAACAGTGAAGTGGAGAGGACACAAGAAAATGGAACACTTAAACTAGGACTTAATTAGGCAGGTGGAAGATAAGAATTTATTCCTACCTACTAGTACAAAAAAGTACTCAGTTTTCAGTTTTAAGTAGGTATCTTAGTTGCCTCACTGTCTCTGGAAATCACTGGAATCTGGGTACTCAAAACTGAATTTGAATTCTCTATGGGGAGAGAAGGTTAGAAGGTAGCTGGTTTTCATAGGAAGATGCTGTGTTTTACATATTTTGTGTTCGTAAATCTAATGCAAGAAATGACACTCAAAATCACCATATGGAGACATTTCTGCCTGAGACCAGTAAGAGACTTCTTGCCTAATTTTTTTTTTTTTTTTGACAAAAATATTTTTATTTTGTCTGTTTACTGTTGGTATTTTACTGGTATAACTATCTATAGGGTCAGGAACATCCACATATGTTTTTTCAGATGATTCCATGATACACATGACTGGAATCTTCCAAAGAAGAAATTAGGTAAAATATTAAGGAACAAAAAATATTTTCCTTAGACTTTCAAGCACCTGTATGTAATTTATGTAATAGCAGTGGTACAAAACTAGAACTTTTTATCTTTTCATGGTTGACTCTGGGTAACAACCTGAGCGAGTACAACATTGTGATCTGCTTGTGTATATAAGCACTATATTTTTGCATGGAGCAGAATTTTTGAGAGTTCAAAAACTTGCTATTCATGAAATGCCACCTTGATGCCCAGTAGTTTGAATGTTGATAAAGAATAAAGCTGTATGAGCAAGACACCATTATTTATGAAATGAAGAACACGGTGAAGTAGGCTTTGATTTTTGTCAGTGAATTTTTCTACTTGTCTAAATTTATTGTTGTACCTGATAAAAGATTGAGAGGATAAGCTGAGGGTGGTTGGTTGATCTGTATCTATAAATTTGACATGACTTTGAGCCTATCTCAGGTGACATTCTGTTTCCCAGCACCTTTAATTTAATTTGAGAGACTGAGTGGTTTTTTCTTCCCTAAAGGTTATATTTTGTATTCCACAGGGATTTCAAAGGGATAGTTTGAAATGCTGCTATAAAAATGCAGGGATTGAAGTGATGCTTTCAACAATAAAGTAGCAGAATTACAGCCTGGAAGAGAAGCTGACATTTTAAGAAGTGCTGGTCTCAAGTACTTTTTTTCCTAAAATTTTCTAAGAATATTTGAATTTACTAACTCTCCCTGAAATTTTGGGTCTGACCGTGCTGCTTCTGTGTTGGTCAAAACTCTTTCTTTTGCTTAATGCGAATGGTCAGCATAAGGAGCAAGTACAGTCTCTGACGGCTGGGTCCTTCCAGCCCGTTTCTCCTGAATGGATTTAGTGATGTACTATCACTGATATTAACCATTCTCTATTGCCTCCTAAAAAACAATTTCAGAAGTCCTTTAGATCCCTTCTAGTTCTGTCGTAGGAATTTCTAGGAGCCTTCATTAAAGGGGACAATTCATTTGCGAACATTCGTCTATGCTTTATGAAGCCCTCACATAATTAAAAATTATAGATATATAATAAGGGAAAATAAATTCACAATCTCTGTTGCCTTACTTAGATTTGCCCAGAGATAAACACTCTAATTGGTTTTTAATACAATGTTTCTTAAAACCTGTAAAAGGAAATGCTGCTTTCTGAAGCTTATTTAGTTTACCGAATGTCTTCTGGTCTGTTCGGAGTTAAGTGTTTTGAGAATTTCAGTAATTCCAAACATTTTTCCTCATTTTCTTTCCTGTAATTAACTGTTAGCCTTTTGTTCTCTATCATACATAAAGAACAAAATCGCCACTGCACTTCAATGACTTTTTTCCTGGAATAGCAATTTTCAGTGGCTTGGCAATGTCAAATAGAATTTCATAGCTTAAAGTGAGTGATTTGTGAAGAACTCTGTGGATTTTGGTTTGCCTTTCTTTGGCAAACCATAAATATCACAGATACATAGCAAATCAGTAAAGCATCTAGCGATTACTTTAATATATTGTTAATGACCTTTTAGTTAAATGGTTTAGCTGGATTTGCAGTTCAGTTACCATCCTCTTTTGAAGACAAAGACTGTGTGTAATATTTAAGTCCTGCAGTCCTTGAATCGGAATAACATGGTCTTTTGGAGAAACAGTCTTTCTGCGTTGGGTGGCATGTGCCTGGCAGGAGGATGCAGAGCGTGTTTTAACCTTCCTCTTTGCCAAGGTGATGTGTCAGTTGGGGTCCTTTTACTTCAAACTCAATATATCTAAAGTGATGGCCTTATCTGAATGTGTCAAATAAACATTTACTCATTCTTCCTCCAGTACTCTCTCTTTCCTCCCCCATTCTCCCCTCCCTTTACCGAGATGTGTCTACCAAAGGTTGTATTATATGGCTTTTTGAGACAAAAGATACATGGTGATTTAGAGATGTGACAATGCAAGAACGCTGTTGTGTGTTACACTCTGATGTGCCTCAATCCCTTGGTTTATTTGATAATCTTTGGATAGTACCTAAAGATACTCTCATCTACAAAGAAGTAATACATAACATCTATGTAGTACATCACATTTTCAGTGACATACAAATATGAGTGATAAAAAGACTGATCTACTTGGTACGCCAAATAAATGCTAATAGATATATTCTGTGTTGTTATGGAAGTAGTAGAAGTACTGACTGCAGTTTATGTAATTTCTTTTTGCAACAGAATGGAGTAAGTATGACTTGTTTGCAGTGCTGATTTTGATGCATGCCAAATTTTAACTCTCTCATCTAGAGCTATGCAAGTTTTGCAATCTCTGATTGACAATTGCAATTGGTGTGAGGGGCAGAGTTTGACGTGGCTGAGAAAGTTTGGTGATCAGCTGTGATTTTGCTTTACCTAAAACGAAAATGATAAAAGTAATCAATATTTTGTAATCTGCTTGTGTGTTCTTAATCTCATTTTAGCAACCAGATCCTTAATTTAAAACATTTAAATGATTGCAGTTGCCTTTAGTGATAAAAATTGTATCGCCATAGCTTGAGCTTCACAGGTATTGTACAGCAGACTTACTTGACAGTGTAAAAAGGCATAGTGGTTTATTCTGCAAATTTTCAGGCTTCCTAAATAACCAAAGTGTTCTTGATGACTAGTAATTAAGAAAGAAAAAAAAAAAAAAAAAAAAAGGACGAGGGGAAGGAAACCCCACAACCACAAAGCCGAGAAGAGACGACCAGCAGCAGATACCCAAAATTACTCTTGATTGCAGTTATTTCTGCAGATACATGTACGGAATTCTTACGATATTAATGACTCTTTCAAGCACTGGGAAAAAAACCAATGAAGCTGCTGTTCCCTTTTTCTTTCGAAGTGGCATTTCAAACTGGCCCTCAGAATGGGCACCTGGCCTCCAAACTGCACTCATTTAAGATAACGGAGATGAAGTGGTGAACCACAGCTTTTATGCTGCAGTCCTGCCCCTGCTGACGTTAGCAGCAAAACTTCAGTTGACTTGAGTGCGAGGGCTTTACCTGTGGTATAGAGGGGCTTGCTGCGGCCGTTGTTTCCGATGCTGATGTGTGTCCTTCTGGAATCGTGCTGCTGTAGTGTCACTGCCCTGCTCCTGCAGCAGTCCTGCCATGCAGCTGTGACGGAGCAGGCTGCCGTGGCTGCAGTCGCTGAGCAGCCTTCCCACTGCCCACCCCTCCTTCCAGGGTCTGCTCTGTTCCCCGGTCCCTTCTGCAAAGGGGCACACGCATGCTTGCTCCCTAACCCAGTTTTATATGAATTAGCCTTTTAAAGGATTTTTGGTTGATAAAGTTCTTTTAATTCCCATCATTTCGTAGGGCAATTACAGGAGCAGTTTGTTGGCAAGGAGGAGGTGGGTTGACCTCTGGAGCCAATAATCTCTTAACCCAAGGCTCAGCTGCAACCAGAATAGCAGCTTGGGCCTCGGTCTGTAGTGAACTAGGATACTTCATTTGCTACTGAGCGATCCTGGTTGGAAAAGAGCTAATGCTACCACCATAATTTTATTTACCAGAACCTGCAGGAGACTACATGTTACACATGGGGACAGATTAGTGCAGGCAAAACGATTGTTGTTTATTCCCTGACACCACAGGCCTCCTTATGACTTGTCCCCAGGAATCGATACAGAGGCATCACCAATATAAACCTACAGAGTTTTTGTCCCTCCCAATGGAGAAAGCCTCAGGGAAGGATTTGGTCTAAAATTTCCAAACTAATCTCATTCTCAATAAAATATTACTCAAACCATGACATTGCAAAACTGGAAGGAGTAGTTAACAAAGCGGCTTGTTGACTTGCAGCTGCTGCGGTAACTTACTCCAGCTGAGTTCCAGGGTGTTTACACAACAGCAAATGCAAACATGTTTTATCTGACAGGACAACAGCTTTGAGCAATTCATTATCAACTACTGTAATGAGAAGTTGCAGCAGATCTTCATTGAACTTACCCTCAAAGAAGAGCAGGAGGAATACATCCGAGAGGTAATAATACTTGAATGGATCTTCCCTTATCTTCTCTTCTTCCTGTTGTCCCCGTAAAGATACGTAGGCATGCATACTGGATCCTCTTTTCAGGGAACAGACCCACTTTTTGACCACCAGCCTGGCAGGGAGCATGTTTGTGTAGGACTGCGTGGTAGTTACATTAAGCAAAAAAAGTCGGTTTGGGTTTTGCTTCACATTATGAGTTGTCCAGGTATAAACCAGACCCAACTCTCATTCATTGGCAACAATGACTGGCAGTTCTGAGCAAGGGCTAATTAATTTATTAGAAGACTAATATTGCTTTCTGGTATTAGTGCCATTACCCTAGATCCTGTGTTTTGGATTACACAGTGGTGTCTGGGATACACCCCAACAGCGGTCACAGCTAATCCTGTTTCAAAAGGGAATTGGGTGGGTAAAACAATAGCATGCAAGATGAAAGAAACTACAAATAGATTTTTGGTTCTAGTTTTCTTTCAGTAAAGTGTTGAAGGGAGCTGTGTGAGCTTTATGGGTAAATTTAAGATGTGCTTTGGAGCCCAGACTCTGGTGTTTGATGTTATTCAGTGACTGAACATCAAGTTAAAGTTGTAATAGGTTTTAGCAGTACTCCCCATGATATACAGAGCTCAGACAAAATACCAGCTCACAGCTGTAGAAACTGGCATACACTGTCTGTACTCAAATTGGATGATAGCGTTTTGCTGTATAAACATTTTTGAAAATTAAATGAAGTTCCTGCCTTATAATCTGGAGGATAATATGAAGTTTGGGCATGTCTTTTTTTTCTTTTTGCATTCAGTGGTGAAACTCTTGAAACATCATTACTGCAATTTGGTTCTTGAATGGTATTTCAAATGCTCTGAAAAAACTAAACTGTGAGAAGTACCACAGAATGCAGATTAAGAATGAAATTAGTATTTTCTTTTTCCAGTCCTTTGCCCTACCAGTGTTACCTCCTGATGCACTGGCATCCTGGAAATTTTATCGCTGATACTTGAAAAAATGAGGATATTAGCAATATCTGAAAAACAGCCAAGCTCTGGATTTTTCAGATGATCTCATCTAAATTTAGCCCTCTTTCTTCCTCCCATTAAAAAGAAACCCAACAACTAAGAGCTTAGAAATTTTGATCTCGGATGCTTGCAGTGAAATGGGTTATTTCCTTACAACCAGTGGGAGCGTGGGCAGAGCGGTGCTGGGGCGGGGGTGGCGGGAGGAGCCTGGCCGGGCGCCAGGGGAGTGCATGGGAAGCTGACACGGGTGGGGGAAAGGAATGGAGAGCGGGTTTGGCAGCCGCTCAAGGACAGTCATTTTGCGCAGATAATGTTACTAGTAGATGACTGCATTTCTTTCTTAATAAATAAAATGTTGGTAAGCATATAGAATTAAATTTGAAGGTAGTGTCTTAGTTAACTGGAAAATAATTTCAAGTGCCTGGAGGAGAAGTTCCCTCGATTGTTTTCCTCTTCATATATTTACTTTTTTGTCTTATAGGGGATTGAATGGACTCATATTGAGTATTTCAACAATGCTATAATTTGTGACCTAATAGAAAATGTAAGTTATATTCAAGAATCTCTCTGAATAATTTTTTAATGTATGGATTGAATTTAGCCATAAAGTCTGTACTCATCCTCATGCCCTTTGATTTTATAAAACAAGGCACTCATTGTATTAGTTATCTTATTTTGTATGGTAAAAGTTTATTTTACTAAAAAATATTTTTTTTATAAAGCTATATGTTACTTTGTTAGAAATGTTCAGCAGCACCTATGCAAAAAAACCCCCACCCAACCCTTAAATGTTTACGTTTAGTGCTGTTTTCAATAGCATATATCACATAGAATCATAGAATCATTAAGGTTGGAAAAGACCTCTAAGATCATCAAGTCCAACCGTTAACCCAACACCACCATGCCCACTAAACCATGTCCCTGAGCGCCTCATCTACACGTCTTCTAAATACTTCCAGGGATGGGGACTCCACCACTTCCCTGGGCAGCCTGTTCCAAGGCCTGACCACTCTTTCAGTGAAGAAGTTTTTCCTAATGTCCAATCTAAACCTCCCTTGGCGCAACTTGAGGCCATTTCCTCTCATCCTATTGCTGGTTACTTGGGAGAAGAGACCAACCCCCACCTCGCTACAACCTCCTTCCAGGTAGTTGTAGAGCGCGATGAGGTCTCCCCTCAGCCTCCTCTTCTCCAGACTAAACAGCCCCAGTTCCCTCAGCCGCTCCTCATAAGACTTGTTCTCTAGACCCTTCACCAGCTTCGTTGCCCTTCTCTGGACACGCTCCAGCACCTCAATGTCGTTCTGCATTGTAAATAGCATTTCTTTTTATATGGAAACTAGAAAACTCAATGACTTGTTACTGAGTGTTTTAGGTACAGAAAGTACTTGTTATCTAATAAGAGGACTTCCTATGGACTTGGCGCAGCAAGAAAGATAAAATTCCTTAACAATCAGAAGAAAACAGTTTTTAACCGTTAACATAAAATGTGTGCTGATTTTACCCGTAAACTGGCTACTTTCATTTAAGTTGGAGTTTCTACAGTCTGAGTAAATGACATGAAATTCCAACATGAAGTTCAAGATTCAGATCTCAAAAGCAGTCTTTCAAAACCGCAGATACTAAAAATCTGTTGGAAATGGGGATGAGGAAAAGAGCCAAACTCTGAGATGGCTTGAAGAATGTTTTTCTGGGTAGCAGAAGTAAAACAGGAGAGAGAGGTCTCCTTTTTATGCCTTGGTGGAAATGTGATGGAAACAAACACTAAAGCTCTTGTCTTGAAACTTCAGAACCAAACTGGAATCCTGGCCATGCTAGACGAAGAATGCCTGAGACCAGGAACTGTTACCGATGACACCTTTTTAGAAAAACTGAACCAAGTCTGTGCCACTCACCAGCATTTTGAGAGCAGGATGAGCAAGTGCTCCCGGTTCCTCAACGACACCTCCTTGCCTCACAGCTGCTTCAGGATTCAGCATTACGCTGGCAAGGTAACTGGTGAAGCAGGGAGTATGCGGTGGTTGGAGGGTGTTGTACCTGTGTGAAGCCTAGGTTTGGTACAACGGGGAGGCTCTTCATCCATTAAATGATGTTACAATAATGGAGGAGAATTGCTTGAGTCAATAGTTGATGAAAAAATCCAGACCTGTCTTAATCTTTTACGTCTTAAGCCTAAGATTCGTGGTTTGGGCTGGAAGGTTTTCAGAGATCATGCTGCTCTAGTTGAAATTAAGGGCAGTACTCCTTTCAGCAAAGGAGAAAGATGTCCCATGTGCTTTGGTGGTGAACTGCTTCTGCTGCTAGGTCTCTGGAAATAAAAATGTTGTTTAGAATGACAAAAATTCACACACATCTGAAAGCAAGATATTTTGGAAAACATGTTCTTTGTCACTGAACTAGCTGAAGTCCTTAGTCACGTTGATGAGAAAGTGGAGGTTTTGTACATTTGAAGGAACTGAGTTTATTTTGACAGCCTATGTGTTTAAACAGATGGAAGAGAAAGCTATACAGAGGGCTTGCAAATGTATTTGCTTTTTACAACATAAGCAGTATGAATAAATACAAGTCTCTACTTTTTGATGTATAATTCAGTATGACTTTTTCTTAATGAAAATCAAAATAATTAAATTTGTAAAAAGAAGACAACTTATTTAAAAAAACCCTATACCTCTTGTTTGAATCTGCTGAACTGTTAGTTTCACAGAGTAATGAATATTTGGAAAGTTTCATTTTGCTAGGACTGTCTAATACTTCCCTATTTTTTAACATTTTCTCAGTCTTACAATTTTTAATAGGTCAATAATGTGCTCATTCAGAATAGTGCTGGAAATGTCATACTTTCAGCCTTTGAGGGAGCCATTCATTAGCTTTACGTTATGTATTTGCTAAGAATATTTTGTAATTGCATATAATCTATCAGGGATTAATACTTAGATACTTCTTTGTTTGTCCAAATTCAAAGTGAATTGAAAATACTCCAATGCTTTGAGAAGGACTGCAAACAGGCTGCGTCTTAGCAGGCAGTGAGGGTCTTCGATTGTTATTGGCATTCTCTTGCCCAGTAGAGCAGTCAGTGAATTCCTCCTGTTTTGGGAGGGATGTTGTTTTTCCATCCCCAGGTGAGAACATTTTGATCTAGTCTCTGGACAGCAAAAGTTTGATTCTCCTTTTATGAAATATAAGCAAGTTCATGTGAACACGTTTTTTCCAGTAGTGGCAGTTACCACACCTGTACTCCAAAGAAAAATGCTGCCTGAGTTCTCAGGCACTTGCTGTTGTGTAAAATATGGCTATGTCAGTATTAGTTTTATTCAGTATTCTGTGTGCATAGTGCATGTCTACATAGAACTGAGAAATCACGAAGCTGAAGAATCTGTATTACCAGTCGGATGACTTGTCACAATTAATCAAACTAAATTCCCTACTCTCAAAAATTAAAAAAGCCAGTAGCCATCTGAGATCTACATGAAGTTCTGCTGGATGCCTCCTGGGTTTCCAGCTGCAGGTCAGAGCTTTGCATTCATGGTTCTTGTTGTTGGACTGTATTCCTGGCAAAAGTCCTTTAAAATAACAGTCCCCTGAGGACTGCTCAGATAGCTGCTTGCTGCTGCGATATCAAGAGGTGATATTTCATATCTTGTTTTAGTTAGGCAAATAATGTAAGCATTAGTACTCTGAAGGCAAAGGGTATTTTTGCTGTTGTGATTCAAAAGAGAAGGAGAAAACCTTTTGTCAGCCAAAAAAAGATTGTTTTGGAGTATTGGCAAGCAGTGTTGTATCAGAGTTATCATGGAAGAAAGGTTTTTTCCATTTCAGGAACCGGAATTGATCAGCACCAGGAACTGTTAGCAGTGTGAGAAAATGCATCTTTCTCAGGAAGCATGTTCATGGAAATTTTATCCAACAAAAAGTCTTCCAAATGTCAAATTTAAAATGAAAGCTGAAATGTCTTTCGTTTGTTTTGGATAGTGAGAAAGAAGGAGAAATCAATTTCTTGGATCAGTTTTGAAGTGGCCTATGTTATAGTTCAAAACATGCTCTGATGAGACTCTTCTGTATTGTTCAGGTTATGTACCAGGTGGAAGGCTTTGTTGACAAAAATAATGATCTTCTGTACCGTGACCTCTCCCAGGCCATGTGGAAGGCCAGTCACTCTCTTATCAAAGCGTTGTTCCCAGAAGGTAACCCCGCTAAGATCAATCTAAAGAGACCACCGACGGCAGGTTCACAGTTCAAGGCTTCGGTTGCTACCCTGATGAAAAATCTTCAGACAAAAAATCCAAACTACATTAGGTAAATTACCCTGTGGCAAAGCTTTGGTGAATTTATGTTTAGCGAAGTTAAAAAAAAAAAAAAAATCGTGATATCCAAGGATAAACTATTGAAATCTACGGTTTAAACTCACAATAATAGTTGCTGGTACCTACAGTGCTGCCAACAAGTGTCCCCGTTCATTTCCCTTTCCAGGTGCATCAAACCCAATGACAAAAAGGCTGCACACATTTTCAATGACGCCCTGGTGTGCCACCAGATCCGCTACCTGGGACTTCTGGAGAATGTCCGGGTCAGAAGGGCAGGTTATGCATTCAGGCAGGCATATGAGCCTTGCCTGGAAAGGTACAAAATGCTGTGTAAGCAGACATGGCCCCACTGGAGAGGGCCAGCCAGGTAGGAAAACATCAGTATTCTTACCTGTCCTGTTCCAGTGATTGAAATTACTATCTTCCACATGTTCTGATTTCTTTTTTTTTTTTTTAATTTAATGGACTTTCAAGTATTTTAAAAGTAAATTAAAAACTAAGCCAATGTGGCTTAAGTGTTTTACTTTGGATGTTGTTCCTTAGCTTCCAGATTTTGGATGGGTTCATTCACTGGAAAACCTAGTAGGTTAAAAATTACAGTTCCTTGGCAAAGGAGATGATTTTAGTGATGAACTAATCTACTAATGGAAAAGATTTTGCATGTGAGCAAGGAGAGCACGTTGTTTTCAGAATATATTGGGCCTGAAAGAAACGTCGGGGGGGAGAGAGAGAGAGATACTGAAGTGGAATCAAAATGATGAGGAGGTCTGGAATGATCAGAAGGACGCTTACCTGTAATAACCAACTTTCAAAGTGTAGGAACACCCATTTCTTTGAAGACAGTCACTCAATCTTCCTCTGTCCTTTCAAGAACAATTTTATGTAATGATTGGTGAGCAACTATGAGATAATACCTCTTGCAAATCAATTGTATTAAATATGTGATTTTAAATTGCATAGTATTCACATGTGTTTTTACAGATGACGTCTTGGCTAGGCAAATGAGCTTCTCTTAATTCTTTTTGCCGTGGCCACCAACAGCATGATTTAAATTTCTTTCACAATAGATTAATATCTTTAGCTACAATTTAAATCCTTAGGTTATCAAGATAACAGTGGAAGTGCAGTACTGATAACAATAGCATTGTTACAATCCGCACAAAGTTCTGTGCAATTCCTTTCTTTTCTTTTGTGTTGACATTTATAAAATGCAGTTGGTAGAGTGTGGAATATTAGTATTTGTCAAACTCGTCAGTCTTTGTTTCACATTTTGATGTTAGTGTGAGAGCCCTTCCTTTTTTCTTTCTTTTTTTCTTAAAGTAAAATCGTTATAGCTGTAAGAGGAAAAAATAGGCCATTGCTGATGATGTTAAATAAAAATTGCTCTTTTTTCATCAAATTATTCTGAATCTTTACAGTGATTATTGTTGCCTTTAGCTAAATAACTAGTGAGTAAACGGGTTAGGTTTTCAATCTTCTTATGTCAAGCACTGTTTAAGAATTTAAAACATGCTTTCATATACTTTCCATAAATTAATCTGTGAATATGTAAACTAAGAAGTTTTAGAGCTGGGGGTCATGTTTCTAAGCTCATTTACTTCTTATTAGGGCTGGAGTGGAGGTACTGTTTAATGAATTGGAAATCCCTGAAGAAGAATTTTCATTTGGTAGATCAAAGATATTCATCCGCAACCCAAGAACAGTAAGTGAAAAATGTCTTCCCCTGCAAAATCAAGCCATCTTTCACGAGGATAGCCTGTTATGAACTGTGTGATTCACTAGCTGGTTACTACAGATTTTTCTAGATACAATGCTTTGATATATTGCTGTGGAATATAGCATTAAAAAAGATACTTTCTAATGTTAGACCCATTAAAATTGGTGTGAATCAAGACTCTACAATAGCTGTCAGCCTGAATTTAATGTAACTTTCATGCACTGACTTGTGGCAACGTATCTGCCACAAACCCTGTTGATGTATCTGCCTACAGCTCTGAAGATGAATAAACCAAAAGGTGTCTGAAGGGGGACTTGAATAAAGGAGAGATTTCTCTTACAGTAGCTGTGCTTATGGGTTTTTTGGTCTTTTCTCCCCTTCTGTTTTTCTTCCAACGTCAAAACTCTAAAAAACCCCACACCCAGCTCTTCAAACTAGAAGATCTGAGAAAGCAGCGGTTGGAGGACTTGGCTACTCTCATTGAGAAGATTTATAGAGGTTGGAAGTGCCGCACACGCTTCTTGTTAATGAAGAAAAGCCAGATTGTGATTGCTTCCTGGTACAGGAGATATGCAGTAAGATAATATCCTTACTGAATGGGGGGTTCTTTTTATTGTTTAATATGGTTTTTCGTGTAACTTTGATATTTCATATGACCTTTATATGATATTTTTCCTTGATATGTCTGGAGAAGTGTTGAAAGAATTCAATTTTATGTGAACTCAATTTAAGTACCAAAAATGTGAATAAAAGAAAATTTAGTTTCTAGAGACCGCTATTAAGTATTTACTTTGTGCTTGTGCTTAAATAATTAAAAAGCTCACCAGAATCCTTTAACTCTGGGAGAGCAGGATTTTGTGGCCCAGCTGGGAAGAGTCTTTTTTATTCAGCTAAAATGCTGTGCTGCCTAGCACTTAGAGCGCTCTCAAAACACATGGTTAATGTGTAAAAAAATGTTCGGTAATACACATGTGCAATTCTGTGGAATTCAGTCATTCCTAATGCTTTTTGTATTTTTGCCTTATTTGGAACCTTTGCATTTGAGGCTCAAGAATGCTGCTTGGGAGGATCCCAGGGATTTATTTTAATTATAGCTCATAAGACTCGTAGTTCAGTAGTTGTTATTGATACAGTTCTAAAACAGTTTCAAATCTGTTTGTAGACTGGGTATTCTGTATCATGAACTGAACAGTACTGTTATATGACTCTCATGTCTTTTTGTCAGCTAGTAAATAATTGACTTATGTGATAAAAAAAGATGTATTGTTTTTAAGTTTTAAAACAATTCTTAAACATCTCAGCTGCATTTTGTTATTGTGTGCATATCAGAAAGCTTGATAAAATATACGATATGAAAGGAAAGCATTTTCTTAAACTGCAAATTGCAGAACTAACAATCACTGTTTTTCAGTTGATGAGCACTTCTGTTTATGATCTTGAAAGCCGTTAGTGTTTGGTTCAGTTATCTTGGATAATTAGAGAAAAATATGGATAATTCAGAAAAAGTATGAATAAATGCTTTTTCACTGTCAAAACTCTTCTCTCTCAACTTCTGTGATTGAACGCACTGTTTCTACAAACAGCATCATTACAGAATTGCTTTGTGCCCATATGGCTTCATTATGATCTCACAGAATCTTAATGAATTAAAAATGGAGTTACGACAGCTAGATTGGCACAACTTTTAATATAAAGAAATGAAAACAAATAGGTGACCAAGTTCGCATCATTGTTGATGTCTTAACTGTAGACTTTTATTGGTTCACTGGTGAAACATGGCAGCAATTGTCTTTGAATGCAGGATGAAGTCATAGCAAGACCCTCGGAATTACTTACGGGTGACCATAGCGATATTTCCTCAGCCTCTTCATGTAGATGGAGGGCACCACTCCCCTAACCCAAGATGACTGTTAGGCATTGTGGTTTGGAAGGTTTCATAAGGAATCCCTTGCATGAACAAAGCTTTTTGACAACTCCTTGGGCTGGAGGCTTGGCTAAAGGATCTGCAGACACTCGCCTGTCTGTTCCCTTGCAAGGCATGACGGATGTCAGTCATGGCATGAATGTGGCCTAGAGGGGAGTCTTTCTAGCTTGCTCGCAGAGATGTTCACTGTAATTGAGTGGGCTGAGTGTGAAGTCTAAAAGCCTTGTTGCAAAGTCTGTCAACTGTTGTTCGCTTAGTATTATACTAACTACTGGTCTACTGGAGAACTGAGCTTTTTAGAAGGAAAATGCTCGGCTGTCCAGGAAATTCATTGTTCAAACTGGCATACTTGGATAATATTCCAGCATGTCATTCAGGAATCCATGGGTTTTCTTTTTTCCTCTTCCTAAGTTATCATCAGCATTTGGTATTATGAAAGGACTGCGGGTAATAGGAACAGTACAAGTCTTATGAAAAGATGGTAAAAAGCTTAGCCAACAAACCTGAGCATTTGTGACAGTTTGTATGCTACTCTGTTGGTGGGAAAGACAAATTTAATATTTAATCCATGTCACTTTTGTGCTGTTGACCATGAACTTAGTGTTTCTGTAAACAGCGTGACATTGTCCATGCAGCATTGTTGAGGTGCTTTGTTTCCCCTTGAGCTGAACACAGAATCTACGTTCTGATCTGCTTGGTCAAAAATTGTTCACTTTTTACATTTAGTGCTTGTATCCTTAATCATATTTTCAAATGTTAGTAATGAAAGTTTTATTATACAATATTTTATAATTGCAATATTCTGTTCTAAGCATCACGTATTTATTTCCAATACAGCAACAAAAAAAGTATCAGAAGATAAAGAGTTCGGCTATTATAGTACAGTCTTACATCAGAGGATGGAAGGTGAGTTTCCTGTTACTGTGGCTACGTCTGCATGGTGAGGTACAGAGCAGGTCAGAAAACACATGCCTTCTGTCCTCTGAGCTGTGGCTGTGCCGTAGCTGTTGTTAAACGCTTGTGTTTGCCATAGAAGAGGTGAGTTTGGGAGATCTGCTTGTAGCCTGGGCTCTAAATCTCTGCAAACGGTGTGAGAGGAAGGCTGGGACCACACTAAACTACTGGGTTGTCCTTGGGGCATCTTCTGCCTGTGAATTTGGAGAGAGGTCCCCTCTTTACATGGGCTTCAGGACCGGAGCGTGAATGAGTGAGTCCGGTGTTCAGAGCAGATCTAGGTACAAGCAAACCAGGCAGCCCAGCAGCTCCAGAGCGGGATGGTCCGGGACTCTGCCACTGGGCTTATGAAAACTGTAATGTTGGACTGATTTGGAAGAAATAAGTTGTGGTTGGCAGTTATTTTACAGTTAACAGGATTCTCAAAGAATGAACAAAATTGAAAGCAGGCTTGAAATAAAGAGTTTGGGTCACCTGGGCAGTACGTTACTTGGGTTAAGTCTTCAATTATCCTCTGCATGCTAAGCGAAGCGATCAAAAGGGACTTCAGGGCA